TGGTTAGACTCCTGCAGTTAACCCAACGCACACTCTGGGCTCCCTCAAGCCATTGCCCTTTCAACCTGCACCTAATACTTTCCGAAATTAAGCAGGATGCACCCCTCCAAGGAGAGAGAGTGTGCATTCCATTCCAATGATCTATCTCTGGGATTTCCATGCATTGAATTCTCGTTTGTATACTCTTAAGCACGGTGGTAGGTTTCCATACAAGTCAGACATCCGGACGACCCAAAAAAAATGCCCCCTGTGATCACTCGACAATTACAAATGTTATTTTCCTCTGGTTTCACTGCACGAGATGTAAATTTCACCCGCAGTTTGTTTCCTTGTTTATCTTTCGATGCCTTTGTTTGTCCCCGCATTCATGAAAACCTGAAAACTTGGCTTGGTTTTCAGTTTCAAGGCTCACCAAGATGGATCAAGTTACATGTTTATTGTCAGAAGTCCTTCACTTGCAGTTTGGAAAAAAACAGTAAACCAAAGCTGCCGAGCGAACCAAATATTTTGTGTCCCATTTCATCAAGTGAATGTTAATCTATAGCAAGTCTACACGAACAGATAACTGTTTATAAATTGATAATTGATATATAGCCACCGTTCACGCTGGCAGGATGTCTTGAAGCTACTGGTTGGGCTGGGGTCGGGAGCTGAGATAATAATAATCCTTGCATTTGATATAGGGCCTTATCATACCAGTGAGACATCTCAAAGTGCTGCACAGGATATATTGTAAAGTGGATTGACTGTATTTTGTGGGCGAAACTCAGTAGCTAATTGCATGGTCAAAGAGTAAGACCATCTTGAGATAGGCTTTGAACGGGGGAGGTGGGGGAGTCAGAGGGACTGTGTTCCAGAGAGTGGAGGCAGATTGGCTGATGGTGGGGTATTTGGGGGCAAGGAATGCAAAGAATGAAGTGTTACATTTCATTGAACAGCCACAGGGCTAGTAACACTGTCAATAGCTATGAAATGCTACAACACTGGCTCTCTACAAGAATCAGCCTGTCGATCAAGTCAGACATGTCACGGTATCAGTACTGAATTCTTCAATGAGACAGGAAAATCTCTCGATTCCAACAACACGTTGTAAGGACATCTCAAGACAGTCAAGGGTTCACATCAGAGCTAAACTGGGGATTGGAGTTGGGAGGGGTGCAAACTATCAGCTTGTCTTTAGTCTAATGATTTAGCTTCTTCAAGGGCTTGTTGAAATGTTATTTATCTTCCATTTGCCACCTGCCACACATCATGGTACGTCAACAGAACCATGGAAATTTACAGCACAGAACGTGGGCTATTTGGCTGTGATGGCTCTTTTAAAGAGAAATCCCGTTTAGTCTCATTTATCTGCCCTTTCCCCTATACACCTCTGTAGTTAACTCCTTTTCAGGGATTTATCTAATTCTTTTGAAAACTGATGTGGATGCGATGAACATATCATCGATAAATAGTGCAGTTCCATTGTAAGTGCTGGATTGAGATTTACGAAAGTACCACATTCAAAGCAGTGTGTGCTGTGTCTCCTTTACACTGTCAAGTGAATCCATCTGAGCACTTGTACTCAACTAATGGTCGAGAATTGGTCAATACAACTCTAACCAACAGCTGTAGCTTACAATTAACCCATTATATACTTCCTTTCAAACTCATAAAAGGCCAATATACAATATTTCAAATATTTGTCCCCAAGATTTGCCTACGTTTCCTTTGAATCACACTATACAATTTTTTTTAAAAAATTGCCTCAATTAATACCACAAAGAATTTATCTGTTCTGATCTCCACCCATCCTGTGCAAAAGTGGGCTGAACTGATAAGAGCTCCATCTCTTTAGTGCTCACCCTGCCTCAAAGATGTGATCTTACTTAAACTACAGTATAAACTAGTGATGACAGGCACTAAAGTCACAGCACATCTATACACTTGCAGAACCTGCGCTTAACAGAAGCTGTTACGTTTGCATTTTGTTTCCCATCGGAAAGCTGCCATGAGCAACACCGGAGCGCAACATACTGTAGTTGGCGGAGGGGGGAGGATGTCTAAAATTGTGACAATCTTGACACTTTCAATGCAAACAAAGGAATAACTGACTGTTTTAGGGAGCCAGTATCAGTCTCTCTTATAGTCGAGGGAATCTATTGAAATAAACATGCATTACAAGACATCAGAAAGACTGAAGGGCCAATAGAACAAACCACTTTACACAAAGAAATGAAGAGTATTAAACTAGGGAGAATGAGTCAAGTCTTCCACAGAAACTAGCGTTTGATTATTCCACATTAGCTATTTTCAGTAACCATGTTTTGCTGGACCACAAATTATAGCAGGAAAGCTACATTTTACTTCTGTATGTATAAATAGGTGTCATGCAGGTCTGAGTCACTTCACCAGCCTCTTTATGCATTGCATCCTTGACTTTGAACATTACAAAGTACACTTATGACAGTGGAGGGAGAGGCAGGCAGTGTATTCACTTATATAGTGCCTTATCACATTGAGATGTCTCAAAGTGCCTCATAGGATATGAAGTGAAGCGGGTGTGTATTTTATGGGTGAAACTTGGCAGCCAGTTTGTGCACAGCAATGTCCCACAAACAGCCATGGTGGGAGTGACCACTTTTATTTTGGCAGATCGTTGGCCAGGACACCGGGAGAAATTCCCTTTTCTTTTTGAATAATGCCATGGGATCTTTAACATCCACCCGAAAAGGCTAGGATCTGTTTAACATCTCATCCAAAGGACAGCACCTCCTGTAAACCCCCAGTACTGGAGCGTCATCTTAGACAATGTGATTCCAAGTCCCGACGTGTAGTTTGAATCCACAACCCTCTGACTCAAAGGTGAGTGACTCAAAGGTGAGTGAGAGTGCCAGACTTCAGCTTTCGAACTTTCATTTGAGTCCATCCTCAACCCCGCTGGCTATAAAGCACGGTAAATATGAGTTTTGAGTTGTTGGAACTCAACCCTTAAGCACTCAAGCTTCGTGCCCGATGACATTGGCAATCTCACTCACAGGGCACAAAGGTTGGTGGATTGGAAGGGGTGGCAATAACAAGGGGAATAGTTGGGCTTCAATGGTTAGGAAAGGGTAAAATCTGATCACAAGCTACCGAACCCAAATGGACGACGAAGCACTTGATAGAATTCGATTGGCATTTCTACCTTCAGGTAGTGCAGGCGATACGTCTTACCTACATTTACCAGCGTAGACTAGTCTTCAACATGACTGGTCTCAGTGTAGTTGTCTCCACCTTGGGCTTGTCCATTTTCTTTCACATCAGTAGATCACTTTTGTATTAATTTCTCCAGGTGCTAATTTAGTCACCCAGTTTAGGAAATAGTTATGTATTTTAAATTATTCCCTTCTTGATCGCCCCCACCTGACTACTTTCCTCTCTCTCCCCACCACACCCCCTCCATTAATTTCATCTTCAGCTGCAAGTTTTTTTCAATCTCTTCTGTTGCAAAAACAGTTTGAGTATTTTCGGCAAATCGTAATCGCACTAACCACCCAAATATAATCAACCTAGGGATTTTTTTTAAAAATCCACTTTTTTCCCCTCACCCTTCCTCCAAAAGGGAACTAGACTTCCTTTTATATTGATTGAACTGTACCATTTAGAATATAAATAGACAGCACGGAAGACAGCCATTCAGCAATGATGTCTGCACTGGATCTTTTAAGAGCAATCCTTTAAGTCCCATTGACCTGTCCTTTCCCTATACCTCTGTATACTGTTGTTTAATCTCAGTAAAGGCTTGGCAGCTCCAGAAATATGGCTGTCTAAGGCCTCGAGAGAGGCAGTAGGTTGAATCACTGACGAACTAGCTCTCTTCAACTCATGTTTTTTTCAAATAAACTTTTGTAAGATGTTTAACAGAATAAAGCAAGTAGAAAGCAATACTGAGGGACTCGAAACGGCACAAGTGGGCACAGGCTCAGGAAGTTCTATGGTTGGAAGTTCTCCTCTGGGTAATAAAACAGCCAGAACAGGTCACTGGATAGGTGACTGGGCAGATCGATTGAACTGGTATCTTGGAAGATTGAGAATTGGCCAACATTCTCAGTAAGGCCAATACAATGGTTGTAATTCTACAATTCAATCACAAACTTAGCTTAATGCGCTAGTCAGAAATTTAACAGATTATTTAAAAAGTTTGTTGTGGCTTTGAGAAGAGCAGATAATAGTCAGACTCTGGATTAAGCATAACCAATGAGGCTATTTGTTATTCAGCAATCTGCCTTTAAATGTCAATTGCATCAATGATTATGCAGATTAATCCAATAAAGAGTCTTACCCCAAATGAACAGCTTTCAAAAGGGAATAGTTCAGCAATATTGGATAGACAACCAGATCTCATCCCCTCCCCTGGAAATTCAGCATCGTCAAAAAAAATTCCTTCAAGGGAGAGAAAGCTAATTTAAAAGACCAGGTGATACCAATCAATGTTTTAAAAGCATCAATTAAAGGTCCTTTTGGTTTGTACTGGGCTAACGTTGATCAGCATTTAGGGTAAGGGGTTGAGAAGTGGATGTGAAAATGCCAATTACCCGACAGTTGTACATTTTAACCATGTTAATGAACCTTTGGTGAGGATTAAGGGCATCACTTCAGCTCCATGGATGTCAGGACTCAGCAACTCCGCACAGAAATGCTACAACTTGCCAGCAGATAAGCGAACAAAAAAATTATGTTAAAATCCAACCATATTTCTTTAATAGTTTTTCAACTTTGATGGCAATACTCAAATAGCAATGTGTGCAAAAGTAACCTGCAGTCTCACCCACAAGCTACCTTCAATTTATTAAATGTATTTTCTTTAAAAAAAACGCAAACCTCCCACATTCCCAGAGTGGGGAGAGATTATCAGCATTTGTCTACAGACATGAGAATTTAGAATCAGTTGATTTCATCTCGCTACATAGGATCAATACCTCATTATCAGACCAAATCTATTGATGTAATCATGATGCACAACTCAGTAGAAGTCCACATTTTTCAAGACATCTAGTTTTATTCACTTAAAGGGGAATTTCACTCAAGAGGCATTGGTAGAAGTACTTTCAAAGTAAACAATCCCCTTCACAAAGCCAGTTAGAAACATTCTACATGGAGTTTGTGCTGCGTGTCCAAAAGCAGCTTGCATAAATCCACCAGGTCTTGACCAGAAGATGCATCTGGATGGGCTTCTCTCTGGCTACTACCAAAGGCACCTCTACTCTCTCTCTGGAGAGCAACCATCATCCTTTCTTCTAGAACACCAATCCTGGCACTTGAATACAAAGCACGGTGATGCCAATCAGAGCATTTGTACAGCTGATAGGAGGCCGTGAAGTACCAGGATCACTGAAGATGCCAAGTTTCTGTCAAGCTAGCCAGAGAGCGGGGGGTGGGGAGGTCTCAGTCAGATAATCACCTGACTGAGACTCCAGTCATAAGAGATGTGGCAAGTCTCCATGCACATGTGGCTTAAGACTTGCAAAAACTGTAAATTGGGAGGAAAATAGATTTTGTTTGGGATGGAGAAGAGGGAAAGTTTGAAGTACTCATCCCCATAAACCAGAGTGATCAGCTCCTTTAAGGATTAAGGACAGTGAAAGAAATACAATTTGCAAAATAATTCAGATGGGTGCTTTATCTGGAAGGACAGCCACTTCAACAAACCACAGCTACAGCATGACTAATGAATCATAGTGAGCATCCAGGGTATAAGATATATGGTAGAATTCCCCAGATACACGCGAGGTGCACATGTTATACAACCAGACCACATATTTAATACACAGCCCCCCACTCCCACCCCCCGCCCCCCCCCCCAAAAAAAAAAATGACTGGTGCAATTATGCATTTTTCCTGCGATAAGATCTGCAAAATAAATTTTAGTCAAGCCAATGACCATTTATATCCAATGCAATTCTCCAGATTGTATAAGTCCAACCACAAAGTATAGTGAAAGAGTTCCAAGTGGCCCATATTGGCGATCCTGACAAATGCCCACCCAATATTAATCCGTAAATAGTTATGATGGCAACTCTCAACAATAAAGATACAATAGCTACCATGAAATTACTGTGGCTTTCAAATATGGTGTTTCCAGCAAATTAGCCACTGTAAATAGATTTTTTTTATTACCATAAAAAGTATTTTCTAGGTTACAAGATTTCAGCTGCCCTGTTCTCATCTCTTTGACTTAAGCACGGCCATTGTTTGAAAGACTGGTCACTGAAGGCAGCAGAGTTTAATTATCCGTTTACATTACCCTGCTCAGAGAAATGCTTAATGACTTTAGTAATCAATTTATTACACAGATTAATCATTTCGAACATACAAGCTCCAGGGGAGCCTTTGGGTCATTAAATATACATAAGTTTTCTGTCGTATGAATTTTTACCCTTACATCCAGTTGAGGCTTCTAAGATTAGTTAACAAAAACAAAAAATAATTAGAGCTATTAGCTATTCATTCACTGTAAGCCAAATATCAACCCAAAGGCATCGGAAAACTGAATGGTGGTCTAATAGCTCCAATCCATTTAACTGTGAGGGAGATGAGCTGAACGGACTGTCTAATTTCATAGGACCCCGAGTGTGTTTTCAACTTTGTCCCAACATTAAACTAGAATGTAGATTTGTATTCTTCAGCATAAAAACTGCAACACGCTAAACAGATTCAAGTTCTTCATTCTATTCATAACCATTATGAGTTTAAAAGGATTCCACCAACAATACATTTTTTTATATAAAAGGAAAAAAAAGTTCCCCCATCCCTGGAAGCACTTGAAAACCCTGAATTTCCAACAATCTGGTTGACTAGGACTAGGAATGCTTTTAGTCTCACAAAAAGTTATGACTGAAGAACTGGACATTAAACACTCTTTGTAAGCAGTCAGAATTTCAAACAATTTGAAAAGGGGGCATTTCTCTATCAATCAGCTGTTCCAAATATGTACACAAAACAACGCAGCCCTGCTGGATCAGGTGAACATGTGCACAGGGGAAAGAGGCGTGGGCTCAAAGAAAGCAGTCAAATGGAAACAAAAGAAATTTGTTTTGAAAGTTCCCCCAGCTGTATTTAAGAGGTTCGTCAACATATTTAATGTAATCACATTGCATACTTCTGAGTCCATTCCCGAGCTATTCTGTTGTACCTGGGAAAAGAAATAGTCAGATGTTATTTTATAATAATATTACTTGCATTTGATATAGCGCCTTATCACATCTTCGAGACATCTCAAAGCACTTCAGAGTATACTGTAAAGTTAATTGACTGTATATTTTGTGGGCGAAACGCAACCGTGAATTGTGCAGAGGTGTCCCACAAACAGAAATGGATTGAGTGACCAAAGTATTATTTTTTAAAGGTATTATTACCCCCAGAAAACGATCTGCCAATCAACTATTAAGCAGGTTCTTACTTAATGCTAGGTAAACAGAGGTAGGTGTGTGGAGTAAGGAAGCTTACCCATTGTTTTTTCCTGTCCAGGAATCAAACCCAGATCCTCTGGCTTGCGAGGCAAGTGGTCTAACCACTAAGCTACAGGACGCGTTAGTGGTTTGAGCTAAGTTTGCACTTTTTATAGAACAAAAAATGCTGTTCGGATTCACAAAGTTGGAATTGCCCAATTTAAAGGGAGCATTGGATACCAAGTTTGTGATTAAATTTAGTTTCAAGAAACTTGACAAACATGTTAACCAAAGAGTGTGATTCCTTTATGTGCAAATTCTGAATTCTGTGCAATGTTAATCTCTTCCTCTCCCTCCACCTCCCCGCCTCCTATATTCAGTTGATAAGGCTGCAGTTTCCCTTGAAAGTTATTGGGTTTAGCCACTTTTATTCAGGAAATACTCACTTTTCTCTATCTGTTTTGTAGATACGTGCAATCTCGGGCACTAAGGGATCATCTGGATTTGGATCACATAACAGTGAACAGATGGACAAAAGAACTGAAAAGGGAAAAAAAGATTTTAAATCCTATGCAATGTGTAAATTCCCCACCAGGTTGCTCTGACAATAACAATGACTAATTAAATAAAATCCAGTACAAAAACTACTCAATTTGATTTGAGAAACGAGCACCAAATTTAATTGCAAAACCTGGATCACACTTTAAAAAAAGCACAAAAGCAGAAACGCTAAAATGTTAAATTTTTAACTTTTGAAAAAAAAAGCTCTCCATCAATCAGTTATCCAAAATGTAAGGCTTCAGTAAATTTTTAAGATTTCAACAATTTTTTTAAAAAGGTTCATCAATGCCTCTGTATAATATATATTATACAGGTCATACTAGAAAGAAAAAAATGTCTTGTTAATGTGTATTACATCAGCAACTGTAATTCTGTAAAGGAAAACTTGTAAAAGCAAGTGAATACCAATTGCATCAAATAGGTTTCAAAAAAGATGTATGACTGCCTTTCAAAATAATGAAGAGAACTATTCCTGATAACTAATAGACAATCATTCCTAAATTCTCCATGGTACTCCCAAACTTCAGACAAAACACATTGGGAGTAATATATGCACTATTTGCAACACACTTAGATTCAGGTTAAAAGCAATACTTTAAATCACAGAGATATGTAGGCTCCACTTCACGCAGAATAGATTTTAAAATACTCCTATCAAAAAATCAAACAAAGCAATCAGAACTGTTTTAAGATAATTAGAAATCTACTCGATTTACAGTCACCTAGTGGAAGGAAATGAAAGCACATTCAAGAGAAAGAAAACATTCATATCAAAGTGCTCAAAGGCAATTATACACTGAAGCTTCTCAACACAGTGCAGATCTCACAATGAAGAAAATTTAATTCAGAACCCGCAATACACACAAGTTAAGTAAAAGCATGGTTCTTAATAATGGGCAGTAGGCAAAAATTCCTTTGTTACCTATCGTGGAGATGGGAGGAAGACAATTCAAAAAGAGTTTATTAACTTTGCAGGGTGGAGAGATCAATTTACCAGTCAGAATGCCTGGGAACAAATCCCCAATGAAAGTGTTTTTCAAAAGGTAAATTTCAACCCACTAAACCACCCAGGCCCTTAGCAGCCTTCATTTTTATGGTTGGAACACCGTCTTTCCGAGGAATGATTTGCATCCAAGAACAGCAGTTCATTTGAAACACAACTTAAGACCAAAGTCTCAAACTCATCATCCTTGAGGGAGTCAAGCCTCCACCAAGCCTGCTCTGTAAGCAGACACCAAGCAGCCAGAGCACTTCCAGGGCTAGTGATCCTCCGAAGGAGCACTCTGTTCAACATTTCCCCCTAAGAGGAAAGAGAATATACACTCCACGTGGAGAACTGCAAAGCCACAGTCCAGCATTCCATAACGTTGCACAATAAGAATGCTAAGATGCCTCACCATGCCAGCGTTCCTCATGAGTGAGGATGCAGACATCGAAAGACGCAGACACGACCAGGAAAATTTTAATGCAATACGACTTCTAAGCAGACACGATTCTCTCTCTCTCTCCCCTTTATTAAAACAAGATGTAATGTTCACAGGAGCAAAACTGGGAATAAAAATAATCCCAAACTCCAATGATTTACAGGAAAAAAATGGGAGTAATTCCACAATTCCTTTATATCAACAGAACTCAAATCCTTCAGAGTGAGTTTGAACAAGAAGCATGCAATAATATTTTTCATCCATCTTGTTACCCATATTTTACACAATCAATGTCAGTTCAATTGACGTGAGCAGTGACGATTTTTGAAATATTGGAATTATAAGCACTTTGTTTAACCTTACATCAAAATGCTTTGATCTGTCAGCCACAACACCAGGGATACTCCTTTGGAGCTGAGCCCTAAGTAACTAAGCCATCAAAGCACACTTATGGTGTACCAATGCCTAAATAACTTGGCTACTGCATTGGGTATTGAAGACATTTAGAAATATCAGTCAGCAGTTGCATAACCTTGCCATATAGTCTTAACGTGTAAAGCAAAACATTAATTTAGCGCAGTGTGGCCCAAATCCAGCCCGGCGGATGATTTTATCTGGCCCAAGAGCATTTACAACAATCCCAACTTTTGCACCCTCCTTCCCTGGTGAACGTTCTCCCATGGCAGCAGCAGGAGTCAGTGGCTGGGAGGACGCGGTGCTAAGACTGAAAATAATACTGGCCTTTGCAGCAGTCTGTCAGGAAAACAAGGGCGTCTCCTTATCCACCACGTGAGAGGGGGAAGACAGTAATTCAGAGGGGAGAGAGAAAGAGGGTGTGTGTGTGAGAGAGATAGAGGGGCAAAGAGAAAAAGGGGGAGATTGAGAGAGAGAGAATGTAAAAGAGAGGGGGAGAGAATGTAAAAGAGAGGGGGAGAGAAAGAAACAGAGATGGAAGGAGTGTGACAGACGATCGAGAGTGTGCGTGTGCGCGCGTGAGAGAGAGGGAGTGTGAGGAAAGTGTGGAGGGTTTGAGAGGGGGGGTGAGAGAGTGTGTACGAGAGGGGGTATAGAGAGAGGAGAATTATTGAGAGAGCATGAGAGGGGGAAGAGACAGAAACAAAAAGAGACAGCAGAGAGGGAGAACTGATGGCAGCGTTTCACAGTGCACTCTCAGGGCAGACGATCAGCTCCCTCTTTCAGTGAAAAACTTCTCCATATCCTTCATTCTACACTCCCATCCACTCCCTACTTCTGACACCTCCCAACCCGGCTGTTCCCTTTGCAGAGTAAACACCTGCTTGCTTCATGTGTCCCCCACCCCACCTGTCCCACCATCATCATTTTGCCGCGCTCTCTGGAGTTCCATTCCTGGAGTCCCGCCCATGAAAAAAGTGCGGTGTAAATATTGTTATTTGTCTGGAATGAAAACACAAGATATTGCTAACGTGACCTGCGGACCTTTCACAAATGGGGAATCCGGCCCACGGCAGCCAAAATTTGGACCACCCTGATTTAGGGGAAGAATGAGATTGTTTAAGATGGTATGAATCACACAGCAAAACAAAGTACTGAGAACAGCAGATGCCTAATCTTCCTCCTCCAACAGATTCTATGCTGGTACATGAACAACCAGAAGAGAAAGTTCTTCATGGAGCTCCTCCTGCTCCATAATACGTGCCTCTTTGAATCAGAATTTACTTCAACATAGGGAGCTCAAAAAAATTCAATATTGGTATTTTAGAGCACTGAGTTTAATAATATTCTGTGACTTATCAGTTTGTTGAGGCAGTTCAAAGCACTTCACAGAATATACTGTAAACAAATTGACTGTATATTTTGTGGGCAATTTAATGATCAAAAACTGCAACTTAGGACCTGATGATTTTGCCTAAATTTTAGTATGCACCCCTTCCTTTTATGTTCAGCTCATAATTTACCTCACAAATCAGCAGAATCGGTGCGTTCAGTCAAGAGCACTTATTCTACATTGATTGATTACATATGTTCATTCCAATTCAGCCTGTCTCATAGTTGAATGACAGGTCTAAAGATTAACAAATATGGACTTTACATTACTGTATCTTAGAACTTAAGTATGAATTGGAGGCAGACTGTCAAGATTATTTTGGCCAGCAACTTAGAATTAAAATGTGAGTTTACTTTAAACTGTGTTCATATTTTTGCCACGTAAATGTTGAACCTGATGCTAACAGAATCGCTCATTTGTCACAATAATCACAAGTACAATGTGACATGACAATGTTACTTACACCATCACAGACAGGTAACTTAATTAATCATATCCTGAACAGGAGATCCATACGCCCAATTGATAACCTGGGCCAATAGAAAAATGCGGCAATACTTGCCAAAATTGTGAGAAAGTTTGCCGAAGGCCGTGGTGGCAATGCGGTGGGGGGGGGCGGGCGGTTTGGACACATTTTGCAGAACATTGCAAGGGGTTGGTTGGTGCTATTGAGACACATTTTACTGCCAACCTACATTTTTCCACTTTATTGATTAAAAACTAAATGAGGAGAGAACACATATTAGATTGTTGCAAAAAAAAGATTGATTTCTTCTTTAACAAAAACTGGGTGGCCCATTGGGGTGGGAGATGGGACACACACTCAGAGACACAAATAGACAGAGGAGAGACATACATTCACAGAGACACCCAAACATGCACATAGAAGAAACACTCACGCACTCACACTAACACATACATAGAGGAGAGACACAGGCAAGATATACTTGCATAGAGACACACACACACACAGAAGAGAAACACACTCAAACACGGAGCGAAAGAGACCGACAGACATCACACAAATACAAAGGAGAGAGATACACTCACAGAGAAACTCACAAGCACATAAAGAGAGATGCACACACAAACAATGTCAATAGCGGAGCTTCTGAGTGGAGCAATACCCATTACCCACTTGCGCCACACCACTACAGTAATATTGGGTAAACAGTCGAGATGTCTGTGGTCAGAAACCTTCCTTTTGTTTTAGTGGGTTTGTAGCGGAGGCCGGTGTTTACAGCGGACTCCGCTGGAAAAACTGCAGCCGCACTTTTCTTTTGGCCCAGCTAATAACTGATACTTTCTGCGGCTAGCTTTAACTGAAATGAATTTGAGTAGGTTTAAGCGCAAGTTGTCAAACCACACACAGCAAAAAAAAATTCAAATACCTTTTGAAATAGTTAATGCTGGAGACCACTGTGACCGTAGAATATCAAGACAAATGCTGCCATTACTGTTTATATTTGGATGATAGATTCTTGTTGTAAATGCAACCTGAAGAGACAGGAACAATTAAAATATCAAACAAGATTTAAAAAACAAAAACAAATCAAATTATCAAGTACATAACACAACCAAACAAGTGTACTTGCCTTAGGTGGTTTAAAGGGGTAATCTGTAGGGAAGTGAATGGTCAGGAAAAATACACCACCCTGATAGGGACTGTCATTCTGTGGAAGCAAAACAGAATAGTTGTCTTCATAATAAATCCAGAGCATTCCCAGGAAACATTCACTCTTTATTCAACAATAATCATTTCAAACTTACCGGTCCCATTATTGTGGCTTGCCAGTGGAACACTGCAGATTATAACAAGAAAAATCATTAGTAAAAGACGGAGGCCTTGAGAGTGAAAGACAAACTAAAACACTTTGAAAAACACTTACTATCATCACCAACTGGACCTGCTGAACACTGTGCTGGTGGATCACGGGCCAAGTCATTCAACTCCTAAGAAATGAGAAAAAATGCTTAAGTTTGCAAACAATCTCATCACTACACTTGACAGCAAATCCTGTGAAGTGGTTTGAGAGACCCTCCCAATGCGAACGGTTCAAATTCAGGATTTATTATATTCATCTCATCACAATTACTGATTTAAAGTCATATTGATTTATGTATACTCCAGGGCCCAGAGCATTTAAGCAACAAAGGTATAAGCCATTAATGCCAGATGAATTTCACTGAAGGTCAGGATGGTTACTTTTAATAGTCCTAGGAGATCAACTGAGGTAGCAAATTCAAAACACACAAGGCCTACCTCAGGTGCATTAGCAGCAGGCAGGGACACACATGAATTGGATTAGTGCGCACAATGATTAGATTCATGCAAATATTCAAAATCTATTATTTTGCCCAAACAGTTTTTTTTTGCAAGTCGCTGATATTGCATCACAACATACTGAGCAACTACACTGGTAAGGTCCCTTTGAAAACATGCTGTCTCTGAAAAAAAAAGAAAACCATGGCCAATTTTCTCTCTCCCTCTCAAGATCAAGGATCAGCAAGAGCAAATGAGATCTACTAATTCAACAGTCTAGGAATGGAGAGTTGGTCCTCACTAATCCTGGCCATTCACTACCAAGACAAGCAGTTTTTGCATTTCCCAATATCAACTATCACATATGAATTATAGAATACAGTACAATTTAATAACTACATAGAAATAGTACCCTTTAATAACTGCATAGAAATAGTACCACAGCTAATCCAAGTGCAAAAGTGAACCAGCAACTCCACCTCTAAATTGGAGTTCTAACAGAAAAGATTGTTTGGGGAAAACCAGTTGGCACAAGCTGGAATACTTCATCTCTGACATGTGTTGTCAATTCTACTCCTGAAAGGAAAAACTTTACTAGCTATAGGATTCCCAGATCATTTTAGGCAAAATGTCAGAGATAAACAATGCCAAACTACATACAACTAACATCAAATCATCAACCCCTGAATACAAAATAGACAGAATCAAACCTTGCATTAACTTGATTGGCAACTGCCTAATAATCTATACACTCCAGCTGGAAGAATCAACCAAATAGTGGCTGCACTATCTTACAAATAAGGAAATTAAGTGTTGATAAGTCTAATTTTTTTCTAGAAGGAGAAACTCCTACAGCTCCATTAGGATGTTGTGTTATTGCATCAGGAATCACCATTATCCCCTCAATCAGTCACTAAGAAAGTATCTGACTATCTATTTTTCACTTATTTTTTTCCTGGTCTGTTTCCTTGCTTCATCAATTAAAATGTCTGTATTGTATTCCTACAATTACAATTCAGCCCTGAATAGATTGTGGTTCTAACATACCAAAAGGATTAAGCACAGAATCAACAGACTACCTTACACACAAAGCAACTATGATAGCACATCAGTAGAAATCCGGCTCACAGGATCTGATGCGTTAGCCTCGTGTCCATTTTCATTTCACAAAATTCTAATGTTAAGAACTGTTATGTACTCTTAAACCAAAGCAAAATGCAAGGCTAATCTATAGAGGTACTTTCACGTAGGGAAGACGTCCTAAGAGCAAGAGACAAAATAGCCATCACAAACAAATTACTCTGGGTGCTTGTAACTGCAGGTGCTAAATTGAAGGATAATATTCTGCTGAGGGAAGAAGTTTAAGAACTCAGCATAATTTTTATGACAACTCATGGCAGGGATTTTTGTGAGATTGCTGCAAGGAGATATTCACATAGAGGAATACAGTTCCAGCAGTGCATTTCCACGTTACTTCTAGGCACTACGCATAAAGTCAACTGGAATTTAAGCCCACCGAGGTGCTAATTCAGGCTAGAGTACTCATCCACAGGCATTCTTCACCCTTTGGTAACAATATAGAGCTTAATAATAATCCCTCGAAAAAACCAAAAAAACTAATAAATTGGTCATTTTCAATCTACGACTGTTTGTGGGACATTGCTGTGCGCAATTGGCTGCCGCGTTCGCCCACAAATATACAGTCAATTCACTTTACAGTGTGTTCTGTGAAGCGCTTTGGGACGTCCTCCCGACGTGAAAAGCGCTATATCAAATGCAAGGATTATTATTATTATTATTATTATTAATACTCCTAGACAACAGTTAAGTTTGATCCAGCTCTCAACCAGTATGCATTCAAATAGGAGTCAGATTTAGAGCTTGGCCAATTTGTCCCATAGACTGGGTAATGAGGCCAACTGTAGTAGTCCTGATAAGACTAGTATCAATACCTTCCAGCAACTTTTCAATCTCACCAAAAATGGAATTCATTGTTGATCCTGATCACAACTGTAATTACTAAAAACATTCTAGGACTATTATGAGACTAGCTATGAGATATACAAAAGCAGCCAGTGGAATATCTGTATATTCACCTCCCCACTAAAATCTACCAAGTAGGCAATTCAAATAATCTACAAGATCTATAGACTGCATCTAGTGAGTCATCATAATTTGATGGGATTTCCTAGTCCAAAATTCCAAGTTTATGAATCAAGCAGCAGTACCCTTCGGGTGTAAAGCAAGATACAAACTTAGGCTTGTGCTACATAACCATTATCCCAGGAACAGTAGAGGAAAACAAGCGCAAATATAATAATTCAAATCAAAATTACGGCGACCAATACCAAACATGTCACATCCATTTTCAATAGATATCATGTGAACAGCAAAGAATTTATATAAGCACTCAAATAAAATCATAATTTCATCCAACTTGGATCCCAAAGGTAAAAGGTCAATGAGTAAACATACCACACAGCAGTCACTCCAAATCACTCTTGGAACCGGAGTAAGACGATGAATCATGCAGTTTTGTTTCCTCTTTTACGCACCCACACATTTCCCCCTTCCCGAGGCCTCAACGGTAGAGCTGATTGTTGGCTTTGCAGAGATCAGTTAACTCTGCCCTGACCAAGTCTCAAGCCTGCAACATTCCGGTTTGTGGGGAAGCTCTATGCGGAGCGTGGACAGATTTGAGTCATGAATTTTTACCCACCGTATTAAGATGGTGTACAATCCAGCTCATGTTAAGTGGGACTCTTAGAGTCAACAAAGGAAGAAGTCTTTCTGGAAAGAATTCAAACTTGGGATCTAAACGTGAAAGACAGCATCAACCACAGCACTACCCAGTTCCTATATCATGCAGTTTCACTTTTAAAAGTTAGTACATAAAAAGAATATGTATAAGCAGGTATACTACAGTGCATGATGTCACTATATATTACAGTGCTTGATGTCAAAATCAATTAACAACAACAAGATTCCATTCAGAGAGCGCTTTTCACGTCGGGAGGACGTCCCAAGGCGCTGGACAGTTGGGTCAGGACCCGAGCAGGGGGGAGATGGTCAGGGTGAGGGGAGGGAAGGGAGGGAGCGAGGAGGGGGTAGAGAGTCGAGAGGGGAGCTGAAGGTCAAAGAGAAAGGTCTTGAGACCGGCCTTGATGGAGGAAAGGGAGGAAGCGGCGAAGGCACTGGGGGATGGAGTTCCAGAGCCTTGGGGCTGAGATGCTGAAGGCCCGGCCACCAATGGTAGGGCGGTTGGGACGGGGGATGTGGAGCAGACCGGAGCCGGACGAACGGAGGGTACGGGCAGGTAAGTAGGGGGATAGTAGATCGGAGAGGTAGGAGGGAGCGAGGCCGTGAATGGCCTTGTAGGTGAGGATGAGGATCTTGAATTCGATCCTCTGGGGGATGGGAAGCTAGTTAACTACACTGAATAATAAACTTAGGGCAATTATTTCACAAATTAAACTATTTTACAGCATAATACTGTAATACTTTCATTCTCAGTCACAACATGGGGTATATTTTAGCCTAAGTTTCTTTTTTCCCCCCTAAAGGGTGTCATGAAAGCAAGAGGGATAGGGAAGAGGAGGAAAGTTACGTAGTAAAACAGAAGAATCAAACCACTATGAAATAATATTGCAGAACCTCTGCACATCAGTTGAGTGTAAAGCAGATCTTAAAAACAAATCTATTTTGTCTTTCTACCCCTCCATGATGATCCCCAAATTGGGATAAATCAGGATAAATCCCTCCAAAATTACCACAGATTAACAAACCCATCTTTCAGATCCTTTTGTCCAATTCTTCGGCTTACTGACTTCCATCTTTTCTATATTGCTTTCGAATATTACTCACAAGCTGCACCATGTGGTGAGATTTTTACCTTTCAAAACAGGGAAATCCCACCCTGGATGCGTAGCATCTGATGGCTTTCCATCACATAATCCACCCAAAATCTAATCCAAAGAGATGGAACTCAAATTTGAATGCAGCCAATTTCACGAGAAGTGATGACAAATTCTTCTATAGTGGAACTATCATAGGTAAACTTTGATATGCAGCAATAACTGTAAACTTTAATTTAAGTAGTATAAATGCACTCTATGCACTAAAATTTGGGTACAGCAGTCACTGTAAATTTAGTGAAATACAGCAAGAAATGAGTCCCATAGAACAGATTACCATAGACATCTCGACAGTCTAAATAATTTGCTTGCCATAACTGACGAGCACGTCTGGTCAGGTGATCTTTAACAGATTTCAAGTATAATTTCTGATAAGATCACAGACTGAGTTTACACTATCGGTTTCATTCCCACTGCAGAATATAAGGAATTGGACATTTGCCATTATAGAATGTATTAACCAGCTTCATCTTGGTTTCATTATAGAAACACAGAGACAAATATCTTTCCTGGGAATTTATAATAAGAAGAATAATCTTTGTGTTTGATATTGCGCCTTATCATGCTGTTGAGACACCTCAAAGCGCTCCACAGAATATCATGTAAAATGAATTGACTATTTTTTGAGGGAAAAGTGTATTTATTAAATACCTATAGGGAAATATTTTAAAAAAGGAATCGGGTGGTCAAGCTAAGTTATTCAAAAAAGGAAATTGAAAAAACCCCACATATTTAGAATCTTAACTCTTGCATTTAGTATAGGGCCTTTCACCATA